GTGGCGTGGAGGCTACCCGCAGGACATCGTCGACGAGCGTCAGTTCTACAAGCAATTGAGATCGGAGAGGGACGCGAGGAGGAGGGAGCCAGCCGCCTATCGGGAGGACAAGCGTTCGCGGAAGCAGGCAACTTAATTGAAATTGAAGCTACGAGAAACGGCGGGTTGGGACTTTGAAGACGAGGCGTATGCTGACGCCTACATTCAGACATCGGAGGAGGACATTACCGAGTCGGAGTCAGAAATCGACGAGTAGTAGTCTTTTCTTTTTATTTGTATACGCTAGATTATCTATGTATCCATTTTTATTTGAAAAAATGGCCGGCGGCGTCGGCGACGTAGCAGGCGGGCAAGGGTGTGAATCCAATGTGTCACCGACCAGCGGGCCCGATGAGGAAAGAGAGCGAGCGCGTGCGCGTCCGTCTCGTGTCCACGCCGATGCAAATCCGGCTCAAAAATGGGCCTGAAATAAGTCGCCCGCGGACGAAAAACGGATGCGCATCCATTTGGGTCGGCGCGTTGGGCCGCCACTTTTATCCGCGCCGACCCAAACGGACGCGCGCGGACGAAATGGATCGCCCCATTAAAGTTGCTCTACTGACGTGTCTCTTTCTACTTTTACTATTCGTGGCCTTCAGCCCTTCACGTGGGACTGAGGTCGACCGGCACACCCGGTCCGCGCGTACGCCCGGGCACCAGACCGGAGCGTATAAATACGATCGATATGTACCTGCTCAGACTGCTGACACGTGCTACGTCGCCGTTCAGTAGACCTTTACGTACCGGCCCGGCCACTGTTCCCATTCCTAGCTAAGCTAACCAGCCAGCAACTTGTTCTGAATGAATCCAATGCTTGGCATCCTTCTACTTTTACTATTCGTCTTCCTCTCATTCTCGGTTTGCCAAGTTCCGAAGAGCCACAGCTGGGCCGGGGAGCGCCATGGGAGCGTTCATCAGAGCCCCCCGCATCGCGCGACACGGAGCCACAACGGAGCAGTACCCAGCGTAGCGCGCTCGGCCGCGTCCCGTCGGCCATGGCAGCATGTGAAATGGAACAGCGCCGGCTGGCCCCGGCCGCGCCCCAACGGCCGCGCATGTAGGCCCGTCTCGTCTTTGCACGCGTGCGTGCATGCCCTGCCCGGCCCGCACCGCACCACGTCCGCCTCCCTCCGCTCCGGCGAGAGCGTAGTACGTGCATGGCGACAAACTACGTAGCACACACTGTACGCCTTTCTTCCGAATTGTCAAGGTTTGGACGGGCTCGCCGCCGTCGCTGTTGGACGCGGGCAACCTGTCGGCCAAATGCGAATGCAGCCTGGCCACGACGTTTACGTCCAGCCAGCCCTGCCCGATCGATCCATCCATCTAGAGCTAGTTTTAGCACGTACCCGCTGCATGCTTTCCTGCCAGCCGACCCATCGGTCCAATTATTAATCCGTGCGCGTTTGAATTTCAAAACATGCGACCGTTCCACCATCCATCAGCAGCCCTGCAGCTCATTATTTTAGCGTACGGCACTGTATCACGTGTCACGTACACGCGCAGGAACAAGTCCTCCCTTTGTCCACGAGTATTTTCCAGTTCAATCACGTAGACGCGCACGAACAAGATACTATGCGGCTATTTGGTTCTAGTCTTGCATTGTCATATTTTGCTACACATTTTTATCAAGCTTGTCTAAGATTAGCTCACCAAAATGAGAGTTATAGGTTGGCAAGCCTAAATTAATCTTGCCACACTTATTTGTATGTATGCCATGTGGGGCCTTAATGTGACTTGTCTAAGGTGTGGCTTAAACCAAACACTCACCTAAGTTGATTAAACTTGTCTAATTTTAAGTGTGGTAACCTGTGGCAAAGTTAATCACAATCCAAATAGCTCACACACATGCATACACGTGGCTTTGATGCATAATTGAATGTGCCTACGGAGGGCCGGCAACCGGCAACGACCAATCAGAATGCAATATGATTTTTAGTTTTTAAGAAAACTTTTGATCTATTCATCTTTAATCATAATAATACAACGAACACCGGAAATAATAAAACTTACAGTCAGATCCATAGCCCACCTAGCGACGACTATAAGCATCAAAGCGAGCCGAAGGCACACCGTCATCATCGCCCCTCATTCGCCGGAGCCAGACAAAATTTGTTGTAGTACTCGGTCGGAAACTTATCGTGCTAAAGCCCCATAGGACCAACGCACCAGAACGGCAACCGCCACCAATGAAGAGACGCATACATCCAAAGGATCCAACTTGAAGATGCATAAACATAGACGAACGAAAACCAGATCCGTTAAAGACAACCACCAACCGAATCCTGCAAGATTCGTCGGAGACACATCTCCACACGTCGGAGACGCACCTACAAAACGGTGGCTAGGAGGGGAAAACTTTATTCCATCTTCAGGGAGTCGTCGTCGTCTCGCCTTCCAGAGCGGGACACAAACCCTAACTAAACTCAAGAAAACATCTGAAAATAAAGCCCTCCCACCGGCAAGAATCGGGATCCATCACGCCTCCATGGCCCTAAGGCCACCGGAGACGAGGCGGGCCGGCAGCTGCGCCGGCGAGAGGCAAAGGAACCCTAAGATTTTTTAGGAGAGGCGGTGGCGGATGCAAAATGCAATTTCTTTTAAACGGTCACCGAGGGGGAGACTCCCCACCATAATATATTTCAAAAAGAAATTTATTCAGTTTAAAAATCGGATCGAAAACTAAACATGATGGACCAGTTTATAATAAGGAAAACCAGGCTAGAAAACCGCACAAGCAACGAAGCCTCGTTGTCCACACAACACAAGGCTACGGTCGCACCAACACACCCGGAGCCGCAGCTCTGACTACCTCCGCTTGCATGCGATCCACAACGCCGCACGACACGGAAGCCCAATAGCCCTAGCTACACGAGACATACCAGCCAGACCGACCCTTCTGATCGCGTCGACCGGGTCGATGCACTCGCTACCCTAGCAGCTGCAAGTCGCCACCCAAGCCATGCCAAACGACGGACCTGCCCCATAGAGCCGTTGTTGCATCGTCGTCCGAGGCCGCCACCTCGGCGCCCATCGATTATCTGGAGCCGCCGGCCCAACATCCACCGCCTAAGACCACAACGTGATCCAACACTACTGCCACAGAGCTGCCACCACGGGCATATCTTGAGCCAAACAACAGATCCGAGCAGCAGTACCCCCGCCCCTAGTCAACACAACCACCCCCGTGGACGATGCAGGCCACCTCCTTCAGCTACATGGGCATCGCGCGGACGCCTGGAGGCAGAGGAATGTGCAGCCTGGATCCAGGCGTGGGGGCCAGATTTGCTTGGGCGGGGGGGACCCAGGGGCGGGAAGCAACCATGGCGAACGGGACAGGCGACGACCACGACCCATCCCTGCAGCCTGAGCACGAGCAGAGCGCCTCCGAGCACGGTCGTCGCTGCTGCCCAACGGACCACCGTCGTCCGACCAGCACTCTCCTCAAAGCGAGCCCTCCCCGAGCCTCCTTTGGCAGGGGATGGCTGCCGCCGTCCAATGGGAAGGTGGCGCCGCCATTGCGGCTAGGTCGACGGCAGCGGCGGAGGAGAGGGGGCGCTGCCAGCGGCGCCTAGGCCCCCCCGACCCGACCGCTGGTTAACGCCGATCGTAGGTCTTATGCTTGTTTACTCATTCCATCACGAGTCGCAATCCATACTAACTGCTTACTAGCTGCGTCCATAATTTGCCGCGTCGATCCTATTATAGCCACGAGAGTTACAAGAATGAAACCAATAATAGACAGCGGTGGCAATGCTTGGATCCAGAAGGGGCCGAAATCTGACTCTTGCACGACTGGTGGCCACGGGAGACGCCACCAGCCGGCTTTTCTTTCTTTCTTTCTTTGAATTAGACAGGAAACATTTTGCATATATATGCGCCGTCGTACGTGTCTGTGCGTGACAACATGCACGAGCACTGCCACTTTATTATTCTTTATTACCGCAACTATCATTCCACAGTCCGGTGTCCATCTACGTTGCATACGTAGCTTTCTTGCACATATTGATCATCCTGCTGCTGCTGCTGCTGCTGGCTGACGCGGTAGATCATCGTGTAGACGTACGTATTGTCCCTCTCCCATTCTCGACATAACATTCATGTGCAGTTCGACAGGCACAACACGTAGCCAAACGTATCCGTGTCCTCTTATTTCTCTTGGCTGGTGGGAAATACGAGCCGCGGGATCGCGATCCGAGTAACTTTTAATTTTTGTGGCCATGCCATGACATGGATGATAGTACGTAGATGGGTGGAGTTTTCTAATTGAGTTTTTGGTCAAATTTATCTATGCTTTTATTGAGAGAGATGGATCACAAGTAGTACAACTCTACTGGTATTTCTTCTGCTTAGGATATTAGTGGTGAGAAGGGCGCCCAATAATTCGAGTATTTTGTGTCTAGATTGATTCATACAGTGTTATGTCCCTGCGCATGCTCCATTTTTGTTAGTCTGACTCTGACCCCTCCCAAATCAACACAAATATGTTAACCATTTCCACTTATCAATAGGTGCCAAAGGCAACACGCTAAACGAGCACTAGGTCAACAGTATAGAAACATTTTCTTGCAGGGGCTTGGGATATAGTACACCATGTTGATGATCGCAATCCCTCGAATATGTTAATCAGAACACAATATGTTGCTGAAAAGGACATAATTCGAGCCCACGAATTGCATTCCCTTGGTCGAGCCGTAGATTAGATTAATCCAAACATTTTGAACGTGATTCTATATAAATCTTCAGATAAAAAAAATCTTGCATAACTCGAGCCGACAGATTATATTCTTTTTTGTTTGTTTGCGAAAACACTAATTATATTCGCTTAATCACCATGACTAAATAACGCAAGAAATGATCTCCTCCGTCTCAAAATAAGTGTCCCAATGTAAGAAAGACGAATGAAAACGGAGCCCATCCATGAGACACAGCATTCATACACGGGTTAATTAAGCATACATCTATAACACTGTCATATATATACACACCAAGGCATTCGAAGAACACGCACAAAAATAAAATCGGACACGAACTCGAGCTGAGATGGCACAACACAAGGTCATGCAAAGCTCTCGCGGATTAAGAAACTCATGCGCTCGGTGATCGGCGACTGGTCTCCTTCATGGCAGTGCATCTTTTCCCTGAAACCAGACATCAAATTAATCAAAGATGTTAATTAGGAGAACATGTCGATAGTAAACAATCAGCACATGACGATAGTTTGATCTGAGAAGGTGCACTTACGCTGGACTTCTTGCAGTAGAGGATGGCGTCGTGGACGGCCGTGTCGGCATTGCCGTGGCACCACTCGACGGCGCTCGACGTGGACCCGCGCGACGGGCTCCCCGCCGGCGCCACCCTGCTGTGCGCGTGCCTCGCCCGGGCCTTGCGGTACAGCGGCATCAGGAACCGCACGTACCTCAGCAGCACCTTCCACGGCGACGACCCGCCGCGCCGCCTCGTCATCGGGCGCTGCCCGGCGTGCTTGCTCGTCGCGCTGGAGCACGCGCTCAGCGACAGCGGCGTGCTCTGCGCCGAGTGGAACAGCGGCGACGACGGAGGCGACAACCGCGGCACGGCGTCCTTGGCGCGACGGGCCACCGAGCCGTCGCCGTCTTCTTGCACAGAGGTGCCGGAGCAGCCGCCGGGCTCGCAGGGGAGGAGGCGGCCGCCGCGGAAGATCTGGCTGGCGCTGACCAGCTGCGCGGGGGACGCGGCGCCTCCGTCGCCTGGCGCCGGGAGGCCGAAGTCAAAGTCGGTCGCCGCCGTCGTGGTCCACCGCATGGAGAAGAGCTCGGAGGGGTCCTCCATGTCGATGAAGGAGGACCTGGAGCCCCCGGAGGAATACTGACCGGCGTCGGCAGCCAGGCGGTCGAAGGAGGGCGGCGCCTGGTTGAGCCAGCCGTAGGAGAAGCTGTCGCCGAGGTCGTGCGCCGAGCCGCTCACCTCCATGATAAGCCGCGCGCGCGTGCGCGTGCCAGCGTACGTACGAGCTTTGTAGGTGGAGGAGTGGTACGTGTGGTGCGCAGGGTGCAGCACGCGCGCTGTCTTGAGTCTGAGGAGATGAAGCTTGGCACGGGACGGCATGGCGCAGATATAGTCGCACCGCGCAGGCCAATTCGGTGGGTGCAAATGCCCATGTTGCCCCTGCCCCCAACGCCTTTGTCCTCTCTCTCTCTCTCTCTCTCATTTTTTTCGTGCTTTTTTTTGCGAGTATTTCTTTTTCGTGCTTTGGGCTGCTGATAACGTGGACCGGAAATGTGGATGCTCCAACATTTAGGACGTAGCACTAGCGGGCATAAATGACCGGACCAAGTTGAACTAGTGACACAACGCATTTGTAAACTGTGTGAGCTCCACGCCGAGCTGCAAGGTCAGGGTGCTGAACCGACCGGCTGCATGCGGTCTTCTCTTGGGTTATTGGAATTAAGCAGTAGCAGCAGCCGCGTACTACGTACGGCGAGGGAGCGAAGGGTGGCTGGTCATTTCCTAGCTACCAAAGCAAAGCATCCAACGGAAAATGACAAGCACCCGATGGAACAAACCCCCGAAACCAAAACCGATGTGGTCTCCGTCAAAGACAAACTTATGTTGCCACGCGACCAAGACGAAGCGCTTATAATACGGACGGGTTAGTCGGGTGGTTGGGATAACCGTGACAAAACCCAGCGATCGATGCATCGACGACGTTGCCGCACGGGCACCCGTCCCGTCCCGTCCGTAGCACAAGTAGAGCTAGATTAGAGTAGGACTTTGGCAGTGAGTTTGTCACGTACCCTAGCTCGCGACTCCACAAACGTGTCATCAACTGGACACGGGAGAGCAGCATCCATCCATCCATGGACCAAAAACCAATCTTCGATTCCACCGGGGAAAAGAAAAGAAAAGAAAAGTTATTAAATGAAAATGGCAAGTCTTTTGCCTTGTTTCAAAAAAAAAAGAAAAAAAAAGAAAAGAGCGGCCGAGACAGGCTGATGCGGCCCTCACGTTGGGAGATCTCCAAAAGCTGCTCCGAATTCGGCATACGCCGCGCCTCATCATCATGTCACATCCCAACTTGCTTTGCAAATTAAGCGGCATTTGAGCATTTCATTTCCTAGCAACCCCATGGCCATGGGGGCAGGAGGCGTGTCGCCCAACCGGGGGAGGCTAGGGCTAGGCGCTGTCGAGGAGGACAAAATACGGTTCTCCAATCAAGAACCCTGTCCTGGCCGAAGAGGGGTTTGAGGCCCTAAACCAGGGGAAAGTGTCTGCCTCAACGCATGCAACAACAGCGGTAACGACGCCGGGACACGCTCGCTGGCTGTGTTCTTCTAATCTAGGCCCAGGTTCCGGTTCCGCTCGTGCGCTTGTCCCGGCGTGGCGACAGCTTCAGTGTTCATGGCGCTCTCTCCAGTTGTATACTGCTACCCCTAGTACTACAGGCCCTAAACAGTGGCAGCATTAGACTAGTGCTGTTGCTGCATGTGGGAGAGGTCTTGGGTTTGGTTTATATGTCTAAAATGTTTGCAGTGGTATTCGCAAAATAAAAACTAAAAAAATGTTGAAGTGGTGACAGGAGAGCTGCTTTCTGCTACAGTATATCGTCCAGTTTGTGGGTGGAGGAAAAGAATATACTGTGGTCCAGGAGAGGCCTCATCAGCAGATCATGGCGAGACAAGGGGAAAAGCAAAGCAGACGAGATGGATTCAACTATGTGGCGTGGTGGATCCGGCCATCCACCTAAACCTACATGGCTATATCTAGTACATTGCGTCTTCAAGCGGTACATACATATGCATCACCAATCGATTTTTATCGTCTCATGGTTGCAAATTGCCAAAGGAAATATTCACCTTCGGCGTCTCCGCTCCGTTGAGGCATCAAATGGGACGCAGCCACTAGCTAGACAAAGAATCTCAGCACCTCAGCGGTGGCCAGCTGGTGAATGAGAATCACCCCGAGCTTTTCGAAAGCGTATTTCATTCTTACTAACGGTCGGGAATCCTGGCTGCAACTAGAAAATTGGAATGCCTGCAAAGTGTATCCCCCTCCTCCTTCTATCAACGAAACAAACAGATCTTCGCAAAAATCTTTTAAACAGTGTTTTCTACAAGCAAGCATCTATAATGGACCGAAACACGGAAATGATTCGACAATAATGCCGTTCTGCGCTCCACAAGTATATGCTTCTGTGCAAGACCATGACCACCAGAAAATGCTAAAAATAAAAAATTAATGCAAGACCCCCCAAAAAAAACACAATCGACACATATGGACATGAAAAGACTCAATGATATAACAAGAGCAGCTACTTTGCAAATCTTGGAGGCATATTTGGTTAAAAAAAAAGAACGAGCGGAGGGAAACGGACCAGGAGTGTTTTTTTTTTCCTACGCTGCATTTCACCATAAATCTCGTTTCTAGTGCTAAGCAGCACATTGGACAGAGCAACCACACATGAGCAAGTGTCGAGCATCATACCTTTTAACATGACACATCCTGGTAATCCTTTTGTGGAACATTGGGGTACAGTTTGCCCCCACCCAGGTCATGCCTTTCTAGGAGAAGTTGTCATTCATATGCCGTCTCTTTACTCAAAGCACCTTTGCATCATAATCCTGGGAATGTGTATGGCCTTGGAGGGAGAGCGCACATACATTGAACCCGTGTCGGCATTCCTTTCTGAACAGTGAGCCATTACCAAAACATCAACCTCCAAAGTAAGGAAATCAAACGCATTATACAGCTAGACAGAAAGGAACTATACATTTTCGCAAGATTAATTGCATAGTTGAGGTGCTGGAGCTGAGAAAGATGAACCATATGGGAGTAGATATAAGAAAGCCAGGCTCAAGTCAAGTTACTTTTCACCAAATAAATTTCACTTTAGAAACCAGACGGGCAAATGAAGCTAACCGTCTCTAGCCGATCACCAACAGGTAACAGAAAGCCTTCATATTGTGATACATTTGATGATCGATTTTAATGCCTTCGAAATGTAAATGTCACATTGGTCTAGTAACTCTACAGCTTCCATTTAATCTTCAGATAGTAAAGTTCGACATTCGACAGTAATCAGCACGCTTTGTCAACTAATGGTTGTTAACTGCTACAACTACTCATTCATATGGGTCATGCAAGTAAATTATGCTTTGCGATGCCTTTTGAAATAAGCAGGGATGTCATGCGCAAGCATGGTATCTCGTAAAACCAAGTCAAACTAATCTTTCAACAAACTATTTAATAGCTAAACGGCTTCACATGACTGCAACCCTACAAGATTGCCACAGCCAAATGATACTAATGAAACCATAAAAAACAGCACGACCACGACAGATTTCCTCTTAAATGGTTTCCATTTGAGAAGGTACGAAAAGGACTCTTCCGAAATTTATTTATTTTTATTTCTGACGATACAGAAATTAGTGGCTAAACTGAAGTTCAAAACTACAGCAAAGCAGGCCAGTTTATTATCAGATAGAAGCCAGTAATTCCTGTTTATACACTAAAACAATACTATTACAGATAGGTACAAACAGTGTCTGGAAACCTCTTAAAGTTCATGATATATGAGCTCAGCTCAGTTGTAACTACTAAGATACACAGAGTAACAATCAGTATGCCCAGCGTTTACCATAACACTAAAATTGACAAATATAATGTCGACGCAATTCATAGGCATGTCTAATGGGGAATGATGGGTTGGGCCAGTTGGGAGTGATGGGCCATTTATGTTTAGATGGGCAAATTGAATTTATATTCTGAACCCAAAATAAATGGATAAATCTAAGGTTCTTCACATCTGTTAGTTTTCCTGGAGGCTTGTTATTGGGTTGAGATGAGGCCAACTGGCCAACCCATCAAAGCAGGCAACACATGTATGTCAACATAAATTTCAGAGATGTTTGGAGAAGTCAGCAGGACCAAGTAGTCAGAAAGGGAACACACCATAAATTTTGAGTATGCAAGGTCACTCAGAGAAGGTTCCTTTTTAAAAGCAACAAGATTCTAATAACACCGTAGGTGCGTGCAAAAATGTCTACAATTCAAACTCTTCCTATAGGAGAATCAGAAACAAGAGGTAACATCAAGATTTAGAGCTGCAGCTGCTCGACCACTATGGTTAAAATGATCTTCAGGAGTTCGAGAAGGCACATATAATGCTCAAGAAAAGAAGCAGGGTAAGGCAACTAAACATATACCCTGCACAGTTACAGGAAAGAAGTCTCATAGTAAGTGCTACCACAACAGCAGAGCAAAACAGAATACTGAAGATTTCAATGCAGCTTTGGAGAAGCGCTCTCCAAAGTGACAAGATCAGAAAATTATATTTAATACCGTTTCCCTGACATCTACTGGACCCAAAATAAATGGATAAATCTAAGATTCTCCATATCTGTTAATTTTCTGGAGGAAAGTCGTTGGGTTGAGATGAGGCCAACTGGCCAACCTGTCGAAGCAGGCAATACAGGGAGCTCAACATGAATTTCAGAGATATTTGGAGAAGTCAGCAGGGTCAAATGGTCAGAAAGGAAATACACCACAAATTTTGAGTATGTAAGACCATTCACAAGAGGTTCCTCTTGAAGCAACAAGATTCCAATAATACCGTAGGTGCGTGGAGAATGTCAACAATTCAAGCTCTTACTACAGGAGAATCAGAAACAAGAAGTGACACCAAGATCACTATGGATTAAAATGGTCTTCAGGAGTTTGAGAAGGCACATGTGTTGCTTAAAAAAGAAGCAGAGTGAGACAACTAACCATAGGCTCCGCACAGTTTCACAAAAGAAGTCTTATAGTAAGTGTTACCACAACAGTAGAGCAAAACAGAACTATTGAAGATTTCAATGGAACTTCGAAACAAGCTCTCGCCAAAGTGACAGGATCAGAAAATTCTATTTTCCTGGACATCGAGTACTACTTTAAAAAAATATAAGATCTACTAGTGCTAATACACTCAAGCTTCT